AAGGATTCTGTTAAAAATACTGGCACTTCACCTTGATATATATTGTGTTTATAGTACGTTACTTCAAGTACGCTGCACCCGGTGTACTTACTACTTTACTTGAAGTACATAACCTCTCATTTACTTTGTACTTCAAGTACTTTTTAGATGTACTTTACGCAACATTGTAAACAAGCAAACCAGCGGCGTCACGAGGCTCAGTGGCACCCGGAACGGAAGACCGCCAAACGCACCCCCCCCCCCCCCCCCCCCTCTCATGGACTGCCGCGACAACCCCTAAGCCCTGCACCCGAGGCGGTGCGCCCCCCCCCCCCCCCCCCCCCCCCCCTCTGTGACGCCACTGAAGCGAACACTGCCTAAAAATCAAGCTCGGGCAGTGCTAAACCTCAAAGTAGAAATGACACATTTGCAGTATACATCACTGACCAAACAAACAGGAAAGTACAGAACAATTAGGCACGCCAGAAGCAGAACCAGCTATCGAAGCACTTCTTTGAAAAAACGATCCGATCCATATTTGGCTAGCACAATTTCGCTAACGAATTAAAACCTATGTACTTTCTTTTTACCATAAAAAAACATATAAAAGTAACTTCAAAGTAACTTCAAAAGTAATTCACTACTTTTTCGCGGTAATTAGTAATTTTCTCAATTACTTTCCATTTGAGTAATTTCTACTCTACTCAAATTAATTTTGAGGTCAATACTCAGTAACTTAACTTAATTACTTTTTTTTGAGTAACTTGTACATGTCTGAAACCATGTGATTGATGATAAGCACGTATAGCGCTCGTCGCATGCGTTTCTCGGTAAAGATTGCGGCTGCATAACCCGCGGCAACGGCAGAATACGAAGTGTGGAGCGGTGCCACTAGCCCCGCAAACAATACGAAGCATGTAACGCGCCCCGCATGCGTTTCTCGGTAAAGATTGCGGTTGCATCAGCTGCCGCGGAAACGGCAGCCGTACGAAGTCTTTTATATATAAAAAAAGTTTTGGTACAGTGCCCTTACTTTTCCTTCGTCAATAATAAAAAAAAAAAAAAAAAAAAAAAAAAACCTTTTGACACGTAGTCGATTGGTCACACTTCGTGTCGCATTTGCTTGTTTCGCTCTCTTAAAACTATCTATTTTTATATACAACAAACGACCCCCCAAATAGCGCACCGTCGCTTATTTTCGTACATTTTCTTAAATATAAAAGTGGCCGTCCAACATGTGGACGGCCACTCATGTCAACAAGAGAGCGTGCTCTTCGTTTATTTTTCAGGGAACCACCCGGAAGGTGCTAAGCATAATAAACAGTTCCACACATTTCCTAGTTCCATAGTAAGCATGGGCGTAAAAAAAAATGCTTTAAATTAAGATTATAGTAATTCCAGAGCAGCGATTTGGATTTCTAAAAGAGACCTAGATAAATAATTGTGAAAACGGTCTGATTTAAAAGGTTAAAAAGCGCAACACAACAAGGACAATAAAGACACGAAGACGACAGGACGGGCGCTAACTCACAACTGATTTTATTAGAAACAACACTGTCACTTTTATACACAAGATGGTATGCTAAACCCACACTGCAACCAATCACCACTCTCACAAGCAACTATCTAGAAACATTACTTCTTTCTGAAGCAAAAAGAGAGAAGGCGTGCTAACGCATTTGTCATCTTTCTTTTTGATATAAAAGGCCTCTATAATCTCTCTCTTTGTCTTATCTTTTGATTTCTTTAAAAACTTTGTTTCAGCCAAAAGAGGCTTACAGTCAGCACATCCCCTGCAGTGGTCTGCCAGGTGTCCCCCCGCATTGTTCTGCACAGAAAGATTATGCTCGCGTGCCCTATCGTTAAAACAGCGCCCGGTTTGTCCAACATAAACTTTTCCACATCTTAATGGAATCTCATAGGCCACATTGGTCACACATTCAGTGTACTGTACAGCGTGCTTTTTTGAACAAAGTGCTTTTTTCTGCCGTGTAAGCATCGGACAGATTTTTGAGAGCGCCCAGCGCCCAGCCGACTGTCGCTTTTTCGCGCTCGCTGGCCTAACTACACTGTCGTCACCGGGAGCGGGCGGCCAGACCTTTAGTTTCTGGAGATGGTTGTTTACAGCGTCGGTTTTTCTGGATTTCCGCCTATACTTTATTTCACATTAAGTCCTAGGTGGCGCAAGCCACCGCCCGTTACAAAGGGTATATCCATTAACATCCATCCATCCATCCAGCCATTCATCCGACAGCAGCCAACGATCGGGTGGGGCTAATCAAGCAGCGCCAAAGGTGTATCCTCATGGCGCTCGCGTCTTTATGTGTTTGCTATACACGTTTGCAAGAAAGACTCCTGTGCGCTGCCATTTTGAGCGATGCTGGCGCCCCGTACCGTTTCCGCCATGCTGGGGTGCGCCAGGGGCACGTCATTGGGGTGCGCGATGACAAGATGGTGCCGTTTGCTGCATCGCCGATGGCTTACGTTAGCGGCACACTTACTGTCTCGGAACGCAGGAGGAGGTATCCAGACAGAATCGTAGCGTCACATATTGTAGGACGGGGCATCTTTAAGGGTTGGAGCTGACTTTATAACTATCGCAGCCTCTGTTCCTGCATGTTGTGGAAGCCAGAGCTGCCGCGAGCGCAGCCATCGTTGATGCAAAGGCCATGCGACTTTTGGCGCATTCTGAAGAGATCGCCTCGAGACTTTAGATCTTCTTGAAAAATTTCGATTTGTTACCGCTTTAGACATTTTATTTAATTGCCCTCGCTATTTCGCGGTCGAAGATGACACGTGTACGTTTTATAATTATTCTTTAAAATTTCTTTCTGCGCTCAGTGATGTACGCTTCGGCGAGAGACGCTTGGCAACATTGTACGACAACCAGCGAACGCCTTGACTGGAGAGTAGGTTCGCCTCACCTTGGCGCGCGGTTCGAGGTTAAGCCGGGATCCCACTTGCAAAGGTGTATATAACCGGCTAAACCAATCACGCACAACTAATGCGCCCTGATCCTGCGCTTTTTTTTTTCCGCGCGGGATTAGCTCAGTCGGCGATTGCAAACGCACAAAGACGACAAGGGCCATGACGATGCACTTTTTGGCGCTTGCTGGATTGTATCAATCGGATATTAACGTTGGCTGTGGCTGAACTTGATGTGAATTACGGCCGCCATTGCTGACCTTATCTCGGCTTAACCGAGACTCGTCGTAACTGAAGGCCAATCGGGGGAAAAGGACGCCTTAGGGTCTAAAACGGCAAGAACCTGTGCAGCTGCAGGGATGATGAAGTTGCATAAACAAATTAGGACGAAAGAAAAGCTGAAGGTCGGTTCCATGCACGCAGCTGTTGCAAAGGATCCCAGAGCGCGCCACCCTCGGTCGATCACCAGCGCCACCGTGGCCAAATAAGGCAACAATGGGAAGGCTATACCCTAGCGTACCCCGCGAGATTACGTTTTTATTACCCCCTCCTATAGCGTTGGTTTGTCGCAATAAACTAACAACTGTTTTGAAAGTGTGTCAAACGTGAAATATATGAATATGTATATGCGCGTGCGTGGTTGTATGGTTCTAGCATTAGGGAGTTTGTGTATAGGTGCCTTCCTCGAAATAGGTCGATAGAGTGAGTTTTAGTATGGCGTATACGGGCAAACGCAAGCACATGTGCGTGTGAGTCAGCGTTGCGTGCTCCACAGTGAGCGTGCGCAGAGCGCCAAACTGCGTCTTGGATTGCGAATTACGACGCGCGTGCGCAGCGTGGAGCACGCAACGCTAACGCACAGCGCTCGCGTTTTTTGCTCCCACGTACGCCATACTAAAACTCTCTAAGTCTGACGGCACCCAACGCTACAGTCTGATGGGGAGAATATCAAGCAGCGCGAAAAGTGCATTGTCATGGTTCTCGTCTTCTTCTTGTGTTTGCTCCAGAGCCGCATATACAGAGAGTTTGGCCATTCATTGGGAAGTGTAGGACGCAAATGAGGAGATGCCATCGGCCGAAAGCGTGCTGGGCGTATTCCAGGGGTGCTATGTTGCGCTTTTTGGACTCCCAGGAGACTAGGGAGAAGGAAGTGACGTCAACAACGCAGCAAATGCAGATTGGATGTTGATTTTGTTTTCTTCTGTCAACATCCAATCTGCGTTTGCTGTATCGTTGACGTCACTTCTTTCTCCCTAGTCTCCTGGGAGTCCAAAAAGCGCAACATAGCACCCTAGGGCGTCTTCACAAATTCAACCGTGGCCAACCAGAATCCGAAAATAATACGCTGGCGGTGGTCCCGAGAAACAAACTTAATAAGTGCGTCGGAGTAACTCTCGGTGATCGAAAATATGGTGCACGTGATGTTTCAATCACGGTCATACAGAATCATGGTCGAAAAGAGCGACTAGCGGTACGATCGACATAATCCGTACGCCAGACGCCGAAGGCCGGGATTCTGTCGTCCGAGCGGCCACACTCTGTCCTAGCAAAACAGAGTTGAGCGGCACATTCGTTCCTCACATCTTTCTGCAAGATCATAATCGCCGTAACATTACGTTCACTCTATTTTCAACCACGAAGGGTAACGCTATTTAACTCTTACGCGCTTGTTAAAACCATATACCTATGATTAAAACTGTTTCTGGCTATACCACCGCTAGAAGATTCTTTTCGGCTTCTGGTTGGCCAAGAGAGCATGTCAAGCCTTCATTCTGCGTCTGGTGCACGCCCTGGCTCTGCCCGCACCTCCGATTGACCAAACTGTCTCTATACACGGCTCTGGTTTGCTCTAACTGGATCAAACACGCACAGAAAAAAAGAAAAAAAAAGCACAGGATTACGCCACATTCACTGCGCGTGATTGAATTAGCAGGTGAGAGCAAATGCACAAATATGACGAGATACACGTTTGGCGCTGATTATCTACATCGGATCACACTGTAGCGACTATCTCTCCCATAAATACTTTGCGGGAAAGTGCACGTGTTCTTAATGTAGATGAATGCGAGAAGGAAGAAAGAAAAAAGAGCGCTCACCTCGCTGCAACGTTGCTAAAGAGTCCCGTGTTGATGAAGAGCGGGCAGACGGTGGTCAACTTGATGTTCTCGACGCCCGTCTGGTAGAGCTCTTCCTCCAGGGCGTACATGAAGCCAAGGACAGCGAACTTGGAAGCGCTGCGTCGGCGAAAAAATAGAGACACGCGGCTCAACGCACGTTTGACTGTGTCACGTACGTTTCAAGAACACACCACACACACACACACAAAAAAAAAGCGTGTTACGCGGAAAACGAATTTCAGGGGTCACCCGCACATTGTGTCAGACAACGACGTAAGATGGGCATGTAACGTTGCGTCACGGTGCCACGAGACCTTGAGATCACGCGACGTTACGTGACGTCAAGTCACGCGAAGAGAAATAACTCAAAGATAGACGACACAACACGGAGTCGTCGGGCACGCGCATTGCTGAAACGCAAAAAAAAAAAAAAAAGCATCAGGCAGAAAACGAATATTAGGGTTTACCTGCAAATACTGTTCGACACTAAGGACACATGAGATGGTCGCACGACGCGATGCAACATGACCTGACATTTCACGACGTGATGGTGCCATGTGACATATCAGTTTTTCCCAATTTTCAATTTTCATACGTTTAACGGGGGAAGTTGATGTCACGTGACGCGATGACGTCACGAGAAGAGAAACAGCTCAAAGCTGGACGACACACGTTTCATGGAGGCACGCACATCCATCGCACAAACTCCAAATATATATACGCAACGTAGAAGATAAATATAATAAACCACTCGCAAATAAAAAAAAAATCATTCAGGCGACATTGTAGGCGGATGAAAATCGAGTACTATCGTTAAAAATGGATGCACTTTTGAAAATGCCTGAGCATCGATCTATTTCCCTCGGAGCACGAGAACGAACCCGACGGAATGATTCAAATATTCTATTTTGCTCCGAGGGGACACGACGCTTTTGAGTCAAACGGCGTTCTGAGTTTTTTTGTTCGCTCGACGCGCTCTTTTATCCATTTCGAAAAACAGCGCAAAACAGCGTGAATAACATCTTTCAAAATGGATTCATACCAACTCGCCCAACTTTCCATTCTGGCTCTCTTATAGTTGGCAGGAATACCCTTATGTGGAGAAAACAGCCTCGTACGTATATAGAGCAGTAGAAGTAATGCCTTACTTGTACCTAGTTACTTCTTTTCGGTAAGCAGGTAACGACCTAGTTACCTTTTACGAGAGTCAACTATACTCGTTTTCACCCCAAGAAAAAAGGACGTTTTGCGCATTGTTCATGCGCCGCGCGAAAAAGTTCTGACGAGATTTGGTTGTCGGAGCAAGAAGCGATGCTTTGGGCGTTTGAAACGTGTACGTCCTGATAAGATAACATACATTTAATCTAAAATGCACCTACATATATCTGAATTCTCTACATAAACGGGGAAATTAGTATCACTCCGCGATGAGACGGACTTTTTTTTACTACGGTTCTTGAGGGGAAAACGGGTATAGTAACGTGTTTTTGTTGATTGGTGATGAAGTAACGATTAACGGTGTTTAGTTAGTTCTGGAGGGGAACGTCTAGAAAATGAGCATACCCCAACCTAGTTCTCGGTCCAGCTCGCGCCTGTAATTTTGACTGCGACCAAAAACGCTGATACACTATGAAATGACGTGAGCAAGGTTTGTCAGTATAGCCGCAGTTACCATCAAATGAAAGTGCTAAGAATCGAGGAATTATTAACGACGACAAAATATTCGAAGCGGCTGCTCCGCCATAAAAACGAAAGAAGAGGAACGCGTAACTTTCAAGCGAGATTCTAACGGTTCGGTGTAGCACGTTTCCGTGTAGGACAAATTCAGTGCGGTCTTTTCGGTGGACGGACGTTTCGGTGCACGGACGTTTCGGTGTACGTACGTTTCGGTGCACGGACATTTCGGCGTAATTACGATATGTATTTAGAAATGAATGGTTAAACCTGCAAACACTGCGGACTTTTGTAAACTTCAATTGAAGCATGTAAAGTATAAGATATATTGATATTAATTGCAAATTTGAATATAAAAAAATATAAAAAATATAGACCTCGACAACAAAAATAATTGTGTCTTCGATCCAACCATAATATATAAAGTTATTTTATTGCGGGGAAAGATATTTAAATATGGTTGCGAAGGCGATCATTATGAGAGGCTAAACAATAGAGAGTTTTAGTAGATCGTTCCGATACCTCCGATAGCCCCGATAACGATACTATGCATGCACAAGGAAGGCGGTGGCGGAGTATCGGGTATCGTTATCGGAGTCATGGGAACGATCTACTAAAACTCTCTAATTTATACATTTTACAAAAAATGCAACGGGTTTTTTAGCGTCAGGCATTGATACAGTATATATATAATATAAGGACCGGTCTAGCTTTAGGGTTGAAAAGGCAAAACGGGGGGATGGAATAAAAACGTCACCACATATATACTGTAAACAGTGACGAGTCGGTACATGTAAGCCGAATATAATTTCTTAGACGTTTGATTAATAAACGTAGCAAATAAAGGAATAGCTATTCGTAGAGGCAATGACGAATGTCCCATACGAGAATAAACACTTTATGAACATGTAACTACACTCTAAAAAACTCACGTGCGTCTACTTTCCCGCACAACACTCGGAGAACCAATCACCGCAACTTACGGAGGCAGCTCAGCAAATGACGACGCCCAAACATATGTTTAGACAAAAAAAGAAAAAAAGACGCGGTCTGAGTTGTGACATTAAGCAACGCAAAACGTCACGCTTGCATTGCTTAATGTCAGAACTCAGATTGCTTTTTTGGTCTAAACGTATCTTTCGGAATTATCGTTTTCTGAGTTGCCTCCGTAAGTTGCAGTGATTGGCTCTCCGAGTGTTGTGCGGAAAAGTAGACGCGCGGGCTTGTTTTAGAGTGTATAAGGAGTATGGTCATAAAATATGCGATGTACATTCAGAGACAATCAAAAGATAACCACGACTTCCAATGATACCCACCAAAATGTCCGTACACCGAAAAGTCCACGCACCCAGAAGTGCGTACAACGAAATGTCCGTACACCGAAATGTCCATACACCGAAATGTCCGTGCACCGAAATGTCCGTGCACCGAAAAGTCCCCACTAAAAAGTCTACACCGAAAAGCCTCTGAGGATGGAAGCTTGGACAAATTGGTGAAACATCATAGTAACAACAGCTGTTGTTACTACCGAAATGTCTTACACCCTACACCGGGAGGCACTCACTTGATCGAATGACGTTTTAGCGAACGCCCACGTTTCACCGAATGACACTTTAGCGAATAGTCGGACGCCGCGAAGCGGCGTTTTCGGGTGGGCCAAATGGGTTCACATTTTTGTAATGAGCCGCCGCAGACTGTCGCCGCGAAGCGGCGTAAAGCGCAGCGCGGCGGATGGGTTAACGCGCGCCCCCGTTATTCGCTAAAACGTCGATTCGCTCAAATGTCGCTGTTCGCTAAAACGTCATTCGCTCATGTGATATGGACCCCCCTACACCTTACTACCGAAATGTCCTACAGAACAACAGTTGTTATATTTGCGCTGTTGTTACTACCGAAAAGTCCTACACCAAAATGTCCTAGACCAATTTCAAGCTGATGTAACGTGTTGATTCGGAGTCCTACTAACGAGTAACTCGTTTTGTTACTTTTTAAATGAATAACGAATAATGTTACTTTAGTTCAGTAACTTAAACATGTCTGAGAAAAACGCACGACCTTTTCTTTTCCTTTTAGTGCGCACCTATCTTAGAAGCACGTGAATAATGGAGGGGGAGCGGAATAACCGTCGAATTAAACATTTATCGTTCAAAAGAAAGGACAACTGAGTGCGAAGAAAGGCCGAATTGTAAAGAACTCTTCCCTGACAGACACGCGCAGGCTGTCAGCGCAGAGCTCATTGTTTCGCAAAAAGGATGAGCTGGGGACGTCGGCATGCATTCTTAAAATGTATTATTTCCCCTAGCGCTCTCACTCGATCATTCTTGCTTCTCAAATTCTCAGCACACGTTCCTCGCGAACGCGCTTTATTTTGCCACGAAATGTCCACCCAGTTTGATTTTCAGATCGCATGAGATCAGATTTGGAGCTACGTATACACAAAATGAAAAACAATGTGTGTATATAAAAATGGGGGTTCCTCAAAATTTGTTTCACGTTCAGACCTGACGTTTTTAAACCATACGTATTTGGACAAAACGTCCTTTGCGAACACAAGTACATATGCTTTCATAGACCCCGTATCCTTTTTTTTTTTTTCACGTTTTTTTTTGTTTTTTTTGACGAATTGCACAACCAGGCTGCTCACCAGTAGTCCGTCATGAAAGGCGAGCCCATGAGGCCTGCCGCCGACGCGATGGAGACGATGTGACCCTCTCCCCTTTCTTTCATGGACGGAAGGAAGTGTTTCACCATCTGGAAAGAGGTAGGCACATTTTTTTCGACAAGGTACACGGTGAAACGTCACGCTGAGTGTCACAGCGCAGACAGCTGTTTTTGTTTGTTGCGATATTTCCAGCCTCGTCGTTCGCCGAGATCGCCAGGTAGATTGCAGTGATTGGCTCTCCCCACGTGCTCTGCGGGAAAGCAGGCGCTTCGTATTTCTTAGAGTGTTGCAGCACATCCTTGTTTCGAACGTCTACGCTATCCTCTTTTAAAAACTCTCTTAAAAATGACTGCGCGTCAACTTACCCTCAAAACACTCAGAGTCAATCTCTGCGATGTCCGAGATCAGCTGAGCGAAGGATGAGGTGGAACATCTGTTTAGGCCTTCAAATGAAGTCTGCGCTCGCCGCTCTGGCGTTACGCAATGCAAAGCACCCTGCTTGAATTGCGTAATGCCACAGCGCAGGCTTAATTTGGATGTCTAAACAGATGTTCCGCCTCATCATTCGCTCAAATGATCTCGTACATCGCAGAGATTGGCTCTTCAAGTGTTTTGCAAATAAGTAGACTCACGGGCTTTTTTTTAGAGTGTTGTATAAACCACGTAACGGTAGTCAACAGGCTGGGATCCACAGACTGTACAAGGGCCAATCACTATACGATTTCCTGAGCACGTGAGAAGTATATAGTACAAAAAATATTTCAATCGGATAGTAGTATATTCACTGGAATTTATCAATTGTTAGAGTCACGAAACGATTCCCAAAGAAATAGGAGGGAACCCGTAAACGCTATTAACATACGTGTTAATAAGGATCTGATGATTGTGGGGCATTTATACTATCCAATATAGGTGACATGACGAAGTAGTACTTTCAATACTTTGTTTTACTTGGGTGAATTTTAAACAACAGAAAGTTGTCGCATCAGTTGCTTAAAACAATACACTTAACGTTAGAAACAACAGCCGTACGCTTGCATGCGGGCCATGACACCGACTACGTTTCAGAAAAATAGTAATAATTATTGATCAGTCACAGAAAAAAAAACAAAAAAAACGAGTATGATTGCTATTTTCAAATTATTTCTTTATCTGTTTAACCTTCTCTTAAAGTCTACGACAATCGTTCAAAACTGGCAATGAACAATTTTTTTCTATATGAAACACAGGACTGGGTTTGTAAATACCCGAATACTGTAATCTTAAGTGACGACATTCTGCGTTGAAATTTGCTGCCATAGAACCTCGAAATTTGTCTCATTAGTGGACAAAAAACGTTTCTTTTTCCGAATCTTATAAAGCGGTGCTCGCCACAAGGACTTGATTATAAGTGTGACGGTTCTTTTACGCCGCTTTCTTTCGGTGGGAGCGGCACGCAATTCCGGACTAATCTCGGGTGTAAATAGCAGTACCATATTTAAGCCCGCGTTTTTGGCTACACCCATCCTTTTGAATTCTTTAAAAGTACTCCTAAGCCCCCCCCCCCCCCCCCCCCCCCCCCCCCCCCCCAGCCAGATCCCCTCCCCAACCCGAACGCGCGCACGCACGACACATAAAATTAAGCAGCCTTCCGTTACCGAGAATAATGTAAAGAAAGGTGACATGAAACCTAGTCTTAAACACGTCGGGCTATGCGCAAAAAAAAAAAAAAGCTTTGCAGACGATTACTTTATTTGAGATGTACGTCAGTGTAAACAAACGAGAAAAAAAAACCCACGTCAATTGCGTCGCAACAATATGGGTATTCTTGCGTCATTGGTTGATGCTCTTGGACACGGTCGCGATAAACTCCTAATAGAAATGCATTTTTTAGCGTCCTGCCAGCCGATGGCTTCTAACTATTTTTCGAAACTGTATTTTCTTGGGAAATTCCCTTTTTGATGGTCACTATTAGAGACATGCTTTTTGATGGTCACTATTAGAGACTGTACCGCATGTCGCAACGAAACTCTCTAACCGTAGTGATTTTACACGAGACTAAGTTTTTTTTACTACAGAACGACACGCACTACTATATATTTGTCTCGCCCTGCAGTAAAAGCCCTTCTCCGGGTAAAGTCGCTATCGATTCTAATCTTTTCATCTTCTTTTTTTTTAACTTTGTTATTGAGTGTAGTACACTGTTGCAGCTGCAATCTGCACGCATTCTTACGTGTACCTAGAATGTACATGCAGGGACGGGTTTCTCCGAGTCAACATGTACATTGATCCGCCTAAAAAAAAAAGCAGCAATAAGTTTAATACTTAGTACGCTAAAGCACGGTGGGCTTCAGGTGGACCTTTGACCTTTTGGGTGCCGTCCTAAAACAAAGAAAGAAAAAATAGACACTGAAAAACGCCTTTCTTTTTCTGTGGCGCCGGAAAAAAAATAATGCGCTCGTACTGAATGGAAAAATGACGTCATTTTTTTTTTCAGAACCGGAGAGCAGAGCCTATTCTAAAGTTCTTGCGTTGCGAGAGACTGTAAAACTACAGACACCATTATACGCGACAGCCATAAGGTCCCAAACGAGGATCAAACAAACGACGCGCAGTGCAAGTTCCACGGTCGATCGGCTCCCGCAGCAATAGAAGAAGACAAGTCCCGCGCATGGCGCCATCATTAACGGATCTCCAACCGGCCTCAAACGGGTCGTGCTCGTTGTGAGACGCTTCCAGACGCGCTGGCGGCGACGCTGACGCGAGCTATGCGGAGCTCAAGTTCGTCTGCTCCGTTTGCAGGGGTTGCGGTGACGTCAGAACGCCGAACTCCTACTGGCTCAATCGGAGCCAATCAGAGTTTGGCGTTCTGACGTCACCACAACGCCTGCAAAAGAAGCAGACGAACTTGCGCCCCGCATAGGTGGCGCTGCCTAGATCCACTAGTGATGACGTTCGGGAATACGGTGCCATGGGACGCGCCTCCGACTGGTGTGTTTAGCGTCCCAATCCTCCCATGCATCGAAGGTGGCCTCGAAACGGAAACACGTGACGTCACAAAAGCCGGAGATTTACTTATTCTGTCAGATATGTTGCGATCCTGGTTCGTAAGTGTAAGGAAAGCAGCCGAAAAAGCGGAAAGTAATTTCTTGGAAGTATTCTTCACAGGGAAAACGCATAAGCCTGATTGTCCCTTCCGAGCCATTGTGTCTGAGAGGAACACGTGGCAGTTTATGGTTAGCCGTTATCTACAGCGCAGCCTGGCAACCTTGGCTTTGAGGGACCCATTCCTTGTACGAAACTCGGATGAAGTGATTGACGTGTTTAGAGAAAGGTGTAAAAATGCCCTCTCGGCTTTCTCTGTAGATGTTGAGGACCTCTATTATTTTGTACCTCACGACGGCTTACTCCGAGCTGTTCGGGATAAGATAGACGAGTCGGGAGAGGTAAACTTTCAAAGTGTCGCGGGCGTTAGTAGCGAACATTTCTTAGAGTTGTTGGTCTTCTACCTCCAGTCCACTGCCGTCAGTTACAATGAGCGTTTCTTTGTACATAAATCTGGTGTTTGTATTGGCTCGTCGGTTGCCCCTGTTTTATGTAACATATTTTTAGCGTCATTGGACAGACGCATTTTGGAATGTCTACCTGAATTGCATGTAGTTAAAGTCTTTAGATATGTTGACGATTATCTTGTAATTTTAGACACAAATTTGGGTTTGGATGAGGTTGTTGCGGGGATCGTTAAAGCTTTTAAAAAAGCGTCAGGTGGACTTAAGTTTACATGGGAAATGCCTGTGCTGAACTGCATTCGGTTTTTGGACCTTATGGTCATGTTTTCCAACGACCATGTTTGTTGGAGGTATAGCCCGCGTTCTAAGAAGAGCCTTGTTTCTTACAAAAGTGCACATTCCAAACTGGTCAAGAGAGGAATCGCGTTAACATGTCTTCAGGCAGCTCTTTCAAAAAGTTGCAAACATCAGATGGACATCAGCTTTGCTCAGCAAGTAAAAAGGCTAAAAAACGTAGGGTACCCACCTAACTTAATTTCGAGCTGCTGTGAGAGCCTACTTCAAAAAATAAAAAGAACTAACTTACAAGGGGGCGGCCAGACAAATAAAGTTAAAAGACGTGTGCATGTGATTCCTTATTGGCATAAAGTGTCTCGCAACATTAAAAAGATAGCTAGTAGATACGATGTAAATGTTGTTTTTTCAGCCCCTTGCAAGCTCTCGAAAATCTGTTCGATGCTTACACGGCAGAAAAAAGCACTTTGTTCAAAAAAGCATGCTGTACAGTACACTGAATGTGTGACGAATGTTGTCTATGAAATTCCATTAAGATGTGGAAAAGTTTATATTGGACAAACCGGGCGCTGTTTTAACGATAGGGCACGCGAGCATAATCTTTCTGTGCAGAACAACGCGGGGGGACACCTGGCAGACCATTGCAGGCGATGTGCTGACTGTAAGCCTCTTTTGGCTGAAACAAAGTTTTTAAAGAATTTAAAAGATAAGACTGAGAGAGAGATTATAGAGGCGTTTTATATCAAAAAGAAAGATGACAAATGCGTTAGCACGCCTTCTCTCTTTTTGCTTCAGAAAGAAGTAATGTTTCTAGATAGCTGCTTGTGAGAGTGGTGATTGGTTGCAGTGTGGGTTTGGCATACGATCTTGTGTATAAAAGTGACAGTGTTGTTTCTAATAAAATCAGTTGTGAGTTAGCGCCCGTCCTGTCGTCTTCGTGTCTTCATTGTCCTTGTTGTGTTGCGCTTTTTAACCTTTTAAATCGATCCTGGTTGTTGGTCGCGGAAGTTCCGGTAAAAAGCAGGAGCAGACGCGAGTGTCGCTGTCGTCGCGGAGTCCCAACTCCTAGCTGCCGAAGCTTCCGCGGACTGTCAGGCCAGAGAGCGACCTGCAGCAGAACAGGCGTCTGCCACACCCGCCACCATTGCTGTGACGCCACAAGGATCGCGGCAGGCGACAGCGTAACACTTCTACGACGTCATCACGAGGAAATCGAGGGACGACTTTTTTGGACGCGTTAAACACATCAGTCGGAGACGCGTTCCAGGCACCATAGTGTGTGTGTGTGTGTGGGGGGGGGGGGGGGGGAGTAAAGACGAAGGCTGTGTCTTCTATAGGTGGCATCGCTTGTCGCCGCCACTCACCCAAAACTGGGACAGCGTGTTCACTTCGAAGGTACGTCTAATCTGGCTGTGCTTGAGGGCGAGCAGGCCCTTGCTCATGGCCACGCCGGCGTTGTTCACCAGCACGTCCACTCGGCCCACGGCGCCGAGCACGCGGTTGCCCACGGCCTCGACTTGCTCCTCCGACGTGACGTCACACTGGAACGCGTGCGCCGTGTGGCCCAGCTGCCGCAGTTCCTCGCACACGCTGTCGTTGTTCTCCTGTGGGCAGATACAGACAGAAACCCAAAACAGAAATGTTTATGTGATGGCGAACGTTGTAAAGTCTAACAATGATTGGATTTGGGCTAATTGGTTTGTCATTCTGATGTATACTGCGCTGCAAAGTTACACTTAACATATATAGACGTAAACTACGAGATGATATGAAAGACAGTTAAGAACATGACGTATTTGTGAAGTCTTTTTACCCAACTGGGTGGCGCTGGGATCATGCACGTCGAGTTTGGTAACCACGAAGAAGCACCTCTGTTCAGTGTCAAACGAGGCTAGCGGCCTGCATGCGCAGTAGAGGCGTCATCGTTTGAAAGCGTATCGGAAAGGTTTACGAAAACACACTATTAAAATAAAAAGTTTTAGATTAGGAAGATCGTTCCGATACCTCCGATAACGGTACTCGATACTCCGACGAAGCCTTTGCTCAATCAGCGTGTCTTTAACGGGCACCATTATCGGAGGTATCGGAACAATAAAGAGTTTTAGTAGATCGTTCCGGTACCTCCGATATCCCCGATAAGTAACGAAACCTGAAAACGATACAATGCATATTCAAAGGCGGCGGCGGAATACAGGGTATCGTCATCGTAGTAATTGGAGCGATCTATACTAAATGTCTCTAATCTACTACAACACCCTAATGCATAGCGTTACCGTAATACCACTGCCGTTACCGTCACGACGGAATCGGACAAGGAAGGTATACTTGTCGCAAAGGGAACGTTTTAGCCAACCGTCACTTTAGGCTTTGCTGCTTGAATAAAATATACTAACGATGTGTATACTAACGATGAGCCGCGGTTTACTTGCTGTGCATTCCCGGCCCGGTTCCGGCATGACGGTACTGTTAACGATACTACTATCTATTCTTAAAGAAGTTCTATCAACATATCTGCTGAATGTCAGCTGAAGTTAGACAAGGGATGGGGGACAATAACACAAGCATGTATAAAGACGAAATCTCCGATATTAGATTTAAAAACAAAGGACGACAAAAAACACGTAGAAAAACAAACGTGTCATCAAAAGATACAATCCTACCAGATGAGAGGGAACGTCTTTAGGGACCGTTCTTCGGAAATTATTCTGAAGCCGGAATAGTATCAGAATTTCGGCCATGAACATAATTTTAAATGGAGCGAATGGGGAGATTACGAATTAACTTGACTAAAAATAAGAAAAAAAGTAAGATTGAAAAGTAAAAAGAAAGTTTCGGCGATATTTCACATTTGTCATTTATTCAGGAACCAACTTCAGCAAGACAGCAGAACTCCCCCCTCCCCCTCTTATTTTACCTAAAAAAGAGAAATTAGAGAAATTCACATACGTTAAGATGTGAACTACAGTGCAGTGAAGCTGAACCACGAGGGAGGCATCCACAGCGCTCGTTTACGTTAATGAGTCATATAATCTCGAATGGCCCCAGAGGTTTAACGACTCCTCGGAGAAATACAGAGCGAGTCCGATTGGAAAAGAAAAACCGTGCCTGAGAGCAGCGTGTTAGCAATGGGCGCGTTAAGCACGCGCTCCTTTACTCCTACTCCGACGCTCCGAGTTTCATTCTCCGATCGCAGCAACTAAACGGAGCGTAGAGTACAGGAGCACGACACGCCGAAACTACCGTCGAGCCGCACGAGCCACTTCCGACCGCACTGTTAAGACAAACTCGGCATTTCGTGGGCACCGATGGCAGAAGCCGAAATTATTTCGAAGATAAATTAATTAAGGCCTGCGTGAAGCGGCAGCGTGTAAGGTAAAACAGACGGGGACGTTATGAAGTATCTACGAATGTTTTACTATTCCTGAAAGGTTCGAAGACTCGCTTCGAGCACATATCTGGATAGTTACCTTGACCGACCTATTTATTGACCATGCATCTAACTCAGATTCAAATGCAAAACAACGTTCCTGAACTCGCTTATCGACTCGGGAAACTGTCAAACTTGTCAGATGTTCCATCTTGTAGAGCGAGACGGAACCCGTCCATGTTCTATATACCGGCACACCGCCGTTCAATAGATAGCACTTCAATTCGTCTTCAGCCGAGATGCATGAACAAACCTTTTCTACCACGCTAACTGATGTTTCGACTTTCCAATCGAAGTATTGGAGCATTCTGAAAAGGGCAGCGGCCCGACCGTCTTCCCATCTCAACATTTTTGTCGTTGTTCTATCGGCCCGATGCGTTCGATAGATGACTTTGTTTTCAGGCGAGATGCACGAACTGAAAAGGGACAGCGGTACGACTGCGCCCTTCGTCTCGACAGCGTTTCTGTCAGCACAGCCGTCTTGTTTGTGGACGTGACGTCACGGATCACGCAGAAGCCACTCGGGCTCCGATTAATACTCGGTGTACAAAGAGCGCGCTCGAGTGTGTCTCCGGCGGCGCTCCTGTCTGTTCAGTAATAAGCTCCTATCTATTGACAAAGCCTGGCAGATCGCCACGAGAAGCACCCGCCGAAACGGAAAAAGGTGGAGCGGCGGACAACGGATGAGAGGGGAGTCACGTGACTGGCGCCCCGCTGCAGCGAGACGCAGAAACACACTTCTCCCGAGCGAACAAGTTTGTTTCGGGTCCTCGCCGCTGCAAAAGCTGTGCGCTGACGACCAAGTTCCCCTAGAGTTCCTGTATAGCTACCTACGGTAGCAGAGTTGCGCATTCAGCCTCGGCGCGTGGCCGTAGCGCCGGCTTTCCCGCACGAGCTGGATGCTTTGCTCCTCACGTGACTAAATTTGGCGAATAGCGGCGCCGCGCGCGCCGCCGTGCATGGCAAACAGGAGAGGAGGAAAAGGAGGCGGAAAGCAGGGAAACATACGCCGGGGCAAGAGAAACGTCGGCGGAGCGACCGTAAAGGTGGCTTTCTTGCACGCCAACGGATGCTTTGCTCCTCACGTGATGGATCTGGGCGAATAGCGGCGTGGCGGCGCGGGGAAAACAAATGCGCAACTCTGGCTCCCGTAGGGAGCCTATACAGGAACTTCAAGTTCCCCGAGAAGGGACTCTTTGATGCTCTGTGCTACCAAATCCTCGCGCTTCAAATTTGCGATCGGGCACTCTGGCTTCGTCGTCGAACTGCCAGGCTTTGTGAGTATAGAGGAGGCTTTGGTTTAGTGAACGGAGCTCCGAACTCCCACGCTCTGGAGCACAAACTTTACGCACCCAATGGTATACAGACCAGAAAACCAACCAGACTTGTGGACGAATAATTTGGTATGAAATGTGAACTGATCTGTTCCCGAACGTTTGTCGTTGAGGGTTGCCGAATCTAAATTTTCGATACCTTACGTTTCCTGCGCTTTGATTTTTTAGAGTCTCTTTATCATCTCATCCAAAGGTTGCCCAAAGTTAACTTCTCTAACCAACATTAATTATTTTGAGCGACTTTACGGACAGTAACAAACTAGAGGTGGATAGTCGAGAGTGTTAGTGTTTACATTACGAAATCGAAAGAGGCACATAGAAGATAACGCAGACGACACGTTTTGATGTTTTGTTGCAAGTTGAAAGCCCGTGTCGTCTGTACTTTTTTCTATAGATTTCCTTTTCGTCTTCGTAAATTATATGTGGTTGTGGCGTTTGCAGCGCTATATTCATAACTTGATAATATATGCTGTAAATATTACCGGTTCTTCAGTATGACGCAATAGACTATTTTTACGTCCAATCAAACTGTGTGTAAAAAAAAAACAGTTTTAAAAATATTATAATTTTGATGAAGACAGAGGGGTACTTGATACAAAATGTACGATATAAACGGCGTACGCAACAGAATTTATTTCCGAGGACGAGAAAACCATTCAACATGGAGCGAAGCGAGTAACAACAAAAATTAAACATCTAACGAGTCAAATGCGAGGGTCAACTTTCACGGCGTTCCTAGTCCCCGTGCAAAACCCATGAAATAAGTGTTAGTTGTTTTTAACGACGTTAGTTATAAGGAAATACAATGGTGCGAGAGACAAATCGTTCTGAAACTCGACCTGCCAGAAAGTAAATTTGTTTTCGAAGCTCTGAAATAAAGATAATAATAATAATAAAAAATACTCCCATCCTTTGAAGGATACGCGGAGCCGCCTAAGCCGTAATTTCCAACCAAGATTGCTGTATTAAAAAAAAAAAAGTCAAATAAGCATGAAAGCTAACGTTAAAATGACTGCTTCGTGAGGGTACGAGATTTCAGAATCCGTCATGCCACGGAGTAATCGAAATGGAAATTGAATGTTATTCAAAGCGATTTGACGCAAGTGCCAAATAAGAATATTTATATAGTATAATAAGACGTATATCTCGGGTCGCGCAATACTTTTCAATCCATAATGTAACATAAAAAAAAAAAAATCTGGGAAGTACAAACTACCGGCAATTTAAAAAGAAAAAAAGAGAAAACCGAACACATTTCGCACGGTCGCGCTACCGGCGAAAAAAAAAAAAAAAGAATTGTGTCCGCTAAGGCTTCTTCGTATTTTCTCCGTTGTCTATCTCAAGAAATGAGCGAAGAGCTAAAAAAAGAATAGAAAAAAAGAAAGATCGATTAGATTCTTTGCAGCACCTATAATGACTTCCAGGAGGCTTATGAGCGTTACTTTAATTGGAATTCTCGGTACACCCCTCGTCCACTTTCGGGGTCCGCATTTATCCATTCAAACTCGCAAATGACTTTTTCAGATTGAAACTAGTTCGCGGTCGGGACCGCGGGGACGTCCGTTCGCAATGGGGAACGCGGGAGGCGCGTACCAAATCACCGGAGTGTTATATATTACCTGCATGGAGCGATCGCGTTCACACTCGAAGAAAAGAAATAACGTTTCTTGGAGCTTTCTCTATACGATTATGGATCCTTTCGAGAAGAGCAGCCTCGAAGGTGCAAAATGGCGGGCTTGAACCTGCGTCCGAAGGCGGTGTATTAAAAAGACATTAACGTCTCGAGGACTTCGCGTTACGTGGTGCGACTTAGATCGAGGTAGGTGGATGCGAGGAACGACGT